ACGCTCTTCGGGAACGTGCTGGTGTGCGCGGCCATCGTCCGCTACCGGCACCTGAGGAGCAAGGTCACCAACATCTTCATCGTGTCCCTGGCCATCTCGGACCTGCTGGTGGCTCTGCTAGTCATGCCCTGGAAGGCGGTGGCTGAGGTGGCCGGGTACTGGCCCTTTGGGGCTTTCTGCAACGTCTGGGTGGCCTTTGATATCATGTGCTCCACGGCCTCCATCCTGAACCTATGCGTGATTAGTGTGGACAGGTACTGGGCTATTTCCAGCCCTTTCCGCTATGAGAGGAAGATGACCCAACGGTTGGCTCTGGTGATGATCAGTGTGGCGTGGGCTTTGTCTGTGCTCATCTCCTTCATCCCTGTCCAGCTCAACTGGCACAAAGGTGGGGATGTTGTTGCTGCTGGTGATATTGGAGATGGATTTGGCACCGGCTGGGCAGCAGCAGGTGCTGTCACCACCTGGGCAGAAGATATGAGCACCACATGGGTGGCATTAGCAGCAATGGGACCCTCTGGTGGGACCTCTGGCAGCAATGATACCCTCACTGGACCATCAGAGAGCTGTGACTCCAGCCTCAACAGGACTTACGCTATTTCATCCTCCTTGATCAGTTTTTATATCCCGGTGGCTATCATGATAGTTACCTACACTCGAATCTACCGCATTGCCCAGGTGCAGATTCGTCGTATCTCTTCCCTGGAGAGGGCAGCTGAGCATGCGCAGAGCTGCCGGAGCAGCCATGTTGACTGCCACCATCACACAAGCCTCAAGTCCTCCATCAGGAAAGAGACCAAGGTGTTGAAGACTCTCTCCGTCATCATGGGCGTCTTTGTCTGCTGCTGGTTGCCGTTCTTCATCTTGAACTGCATGGTTCCCTTCTGCGAGAGCCCACCCAGTGACCCCCACGCTGGCCTTCCCTGTGTCAGTGAGACCACCTTTAATATCTTCGTCTGGTTTGGTTGGGCCAACTCCTCTCTCAACCCAATCATCTATGCCTTCAATGCTGACTTTAGAAAGGTCTTCTCCAACCTTCTGGGATGCGGTCAGTTTTGCTCTAGTACTCCAGTGGAGACTGTTAATATAAGCAACGAGCTAATCTCTTACAACCAGGACACCCTTTTCCATAAGGAGATAGTGACTGCTTATGTTAACATGATCCCAAATGTGGTTGACTGCGAGGAAAATCGCGAGGACCCTTTTGATAGGATGTCCCAGCTCTCCCCTGACCATGAGATTGCCACTGACTCTGTCTGTGAGCTGGACTGTGAGGGGGAGATTTCACTAGGCAAAATAACACCTTTCACTCCAAATGGTTTACATTAAATTGCGTCCTGTCCGGGTCAGTTCTTCTTGGATTATACAGCAAAATATTAGCACTGAGTGGAAAAACCTGCCTGATTTTATGCTATAGTTTGGTCAGTGACTTCATGCTAAACTCACTTCTGCGTGTAGCACTTTGCAGGATGTAGACACTGTCATACAGGGGCTGGCAGCAGAAACTTAATTCAGCACTTCCCCAGGCTCAGAGAGGACCAGGCAGTTGCGTTGATTAGCTGTGGTGAGGTAACGTGGTATAATTGCAGTCAGTTCGTGTTTATAACGTGTTTGCAAATGAAAGGTGCCATTGTCAGTGCTAAGTATCACAACTTCTAAAATCAGGGACAGATGTGGCTGGCATAGACATTAAATAGAAAAAAACTCTAGGCTGTTCGTTTGTTCAGATCTTATGTTTCTTTTTCTCTGTTGTTCTTTGGTTGGTTGGGTTTTTGTTGTTTTTTGTTTGTTTGGTTGGTTTTTTTTAAAAGATAGAAATAGTGAGGTGGTGATTTGGATGATTATTTAAATGCGTGTTTCTGCCAAAACAGTTTATGTGAAATCCATGTTCTCCTAGGCGGCGTTGTTGCCTATGATATCCTTGCCATGTTCCCAGATAAATAAATAAAAGTTACATTGATCAAGGGATTATTATCTGTCATTTATCACCCTGAAAGGTTTACAACAAGTATTCAAACTTTAACATTTCTGTTTGAATGGTTAGAATGATTAACAGCTAAACCCTATTATTTTAAAAGCAAAACAGGCTGTATGGAAAATACAATTTTTGAATAAAAACAAGGCTCATAGGAATGATTGACTTAAATGAACTCTTTTATATGGCTCTACTTACAACTAGATTTATGCCTGTTTTTCTTTAGTATTATAACTGATGCTATCCCTCTCTGCAGCTCAGAATATCAAGTATACATACCTACAAGCTATTAAAACTTTCCACTTCATTCTATACTTGAACTTACTTTTTGAAGATACTATTAATGAGAAGAATTTGGTGATAGAATTAGGAGCTGGATATGTCTAAAAACAATAATTATGTTTGAAAATGAAGAAATAATCAGCATTTCCCAGTGTAGACATTAGAGCACTCATTCAAACCAAGAGAAGAAAAAAATGCTGTTGATGTATTTTTTTAGTTATTTACTTATTAACTGGAACTTAAATATACTTTAAGTGCTTTGACTCTACAAAACATTTTAAAGCAGTCTTTAGGAATTGTAAAAGAGTATTTTAAGCTCTGTTTCTATTGAAACTTTTACATCAAATAGAATATTATATTTAGAAACATTTGTAAGCTTTCAACTCAGAAATCAAAAGTGATCTTATTTCCAAGACAAATAATCAAAAGTAGTAAAAGCAACACCGGTATTTATTTTGAGTTTTGGCTCACAAAATAAACAACATTTGAATTCATTTGCCCTTTAAAAATAACCATGCCATGAGCTTAGCAGATTTAAATCAAATTGTAGGTGTTGATTCAGTAGCACTCCCTCCTAATGGCCCTGACCAGCCTCACCTGGGACCTCCCTATCCTGCCTAACTGGCAGCTGAAGGCCTCTAGATGATGTCTGGGGGAAAAGCAGGATCTGCCCTAATCAGCATGCTTCAGGGGAGGTCATTTAAGCAGATGCTGGGATTTGTGAACTGTTAGGCACTTAGGATTGAGCCTCTTTGGAAGTCAAGTTGGTTTGGGGATTGTCTTTCCTCCCCATGGGATGTGGGGTGGAAGAAGCGCAGAAGGTAGGTGACTGAAATCCCTTTGTGGTTGTCTCTGCTGCAACCCAGTTTTGACTGCAAGCACCATTTTGTGTGTGTAGTCTTTGATATTAATTGGTTATACTGTCATTTTGGATTACCCTTTCAACTGCTTGTCACTGAAGGTTGACATCTACCTGAGTATTTTCGTTGCTGCTGATATGAAATCTCAGTGTAATATCCCTTTACAGCTGTCCTCAGAAAAGGGTATTGTGGCTGTGGCTTAGGGAGGCTTGAAAAACAGAAATCTCATGCCCAGAACCAGGTTCAACCTACTAATAGCTTGACATTGAGGGTGAGTAAGTTATCATTTCTCTACTAAAGCCATCATATGTTGCTGGGAGTTAACCATAGTTCTAGCCCTACTGGTTAGATAAACTTGCTCAGAAAAAAATAATTTTCCCAAATAAAAATGAAGGAAACTGCTTCTGGTGGTGCAGTGACAAATTATCCCAACCAGAATTTAGATTTTTGCATTTTCTAGTTACTACTCAAGCTTTGAGGCTAGTACAGCATGTTAAACTTTCTGGATCTGTGCAAAAAGCCTATGATACCCAGATGCAAGTGGTGCAGGCACCTGGTGCTGACTCCAGCTCCCAGGGCAATGCCTGTATTTTATGCAATTTTGTCAATACTATGTCAGAAACAGCCCAGGGAAATGGGAAAGGGAAAAGAGATGATCTCTTCCTGAGCACCCGCATACCAACAGGCTGTGCAGTCTGATGCTGCCAGTTACACCGGGCTCCAGCAGCAGCACAGAGCAGCAGAACAGTTTCAGTAGTAACAGTGAAGAGAGTGTCCTCCACCTCCCCGGGTAGCCTTTCCTCTTCAAAATAATCCCTGTGCTGGTGGTGTGACAGTTCTCTCGGATCCAGTTCCCTGCAGGAAGGGGTAGATATGTGCAAGAAGATGCTAGTGCATCCCCCTGACAGGTCTTTTTCTCCTTGTTGAGGCTTTACCTGCCTGGGTTTCTGGAGTAAGTGGGTGGGTTAACACTGGGATACAAGAAGATGACATCTCCATCAGTGCGTTTATATAACAGCTTTGCGCAG